ATCTCTCCATTCGCCGTAATCCACACCACTTCCCTTTCCCTTCCCCCCCTCCCCAAATTCCTCAGTCCCCAGTGACTGGTGTCAATCCTCGTCTGGAATTTTTTTTTTTTTTTTGTCTTTTTCCCTTTTTCTTTTCTTAATTTCTTTTTTGATTTTTGATTTTCTATTTTCTAATTTTTTTTGGGCCCTTTTTGTCTTTTTCAGTCTTTCTCTCTCTCAGACTCTCTACTTCCTTTCCTCATTCTCTCCTTTTCCTCTTTTGTCCCCTCTTTTCTATATTTTCTTTTTTTACTATTTCTTGCTTTCATTCTCGATCTGCTTAGTCGTTCCTTTCCTTTCCCTATTCTGATATCTGCTTATTAGTACCGCTGTCCGACTCAATACATTCATTAATTCTCTCCCTCTTTCTGTCTTAATCCATCCGGTCTGCTGCTGTGTTGTATATCACTACAAACCACAAACTATAACCAGCAACAACCTGTCATTCTCTCACTCCACACACACACACACACACAACCCTTTCAATCATCCTTTTATAAAAGAGCTTATCTCTCCTCCCCTTCCAAAGTCATTCTTAATCCAACCACTCATACTTCCTCTTGTGATTCAATTGTTCAATGATCTAGAGCCGTCACCCATTGAAAGTTGCCGCTATCTTGTGCAGCAACAGGTCCGGTCTCAATATATACCCTTTCCCTCATCTCCTCTTCCTCCTCTTCCTCCTAATACCCTCACACGCCAACCGCAACCATGAATTATCTTCACCACCCATACGCGTATGCTGGCCATGCTGCGGTCCCCATGGAACAGCCCATTGCCTATGACCCGACAATGGCTCATCCGTCCATGATGCACCCAATGGACGGCTACATCTATTCGCACCCACCTTTTGACATGATCGACTTCTACCATCAGCCCATTATGGACTACGAGGAATATGCAGAGAACTTGTCTCGTCCACGGTTGACTAAGGAACAAGTCGAGACCCTAGAGGCTCAGTTCCAGGCTCATCCGAAGCCTAGCAGCAATGTCAAGCGTCAATTGGCTGCTCAAACGAACCTTAGCCTTCCTCGGGTTGCTGTTAGTGATTCCCCACTCATCATTCGGCGCTTTCCATTAACCTTGAGCTAATGATCAATGCAGAACTGGTTCCAAAATAGACGCGCAAAGGCCAAGCAGCAGAAGCGACAAGAAGAGTTCGAAAGGATGCAGAAGGCGAAGACAGAGGCCGAGGAGGCTGCACGGATAAAGACAGAGAATGCCGAAAGATCCGAATCAAACCCAGACATCAAAGAAGAGTCAGACAAGGATACCCCGAAACAATCATCCGACCAGTCCATGTCTGATGACCGTACTAAGACATCTGCTTCTAACTCACGATCGAAGCATCATAAAACAAAGAGCGAGTCGGCTCGGGAAGCAACCTTTGCTTCATTACAACGAGCATTGAATGCCGCTGTTGCTGCTCGAGAACATTATAGTCCAGATGAACAGGGTCAACCTGCTACCATCCACGAGGGCTCGGTGTCTCCGACGACAACCTATTCAGGCATGAACAACCACGGTGATAGCCGAGCAGCCCAGAGCAGTTGCACAACTCCGTTCTCTGAGTGGGAAAACACAAAGGAGACTGCGATGCCGTGGACCGCATCTCAGAGTCCCCAAGAACATCTTGGCTACTCTGCCGCCGAGTCGCTCACTGTCCCGGAATTAGACGGCTCTCGTCATCAAAATGCGCAGCACAATGATACCCTCCAGTACCAGTCTTCACAGAACGAGGAGTGGTCCGGCCAGGTACAAGGAACAAAATCCTTCCCTAGCTATCACTCATCCAGCGATGCGGAAGCCTCTTATAGTGCAGCTCAATATACGCTGCACCCAGAGAGCTCATTGTCAAGGCGAGGCTCATCTGATGACCTCGCTGACTCCCTCGAAGGTATCGGGATTCATGCAGCGGGACTTCCAATCAGAACAGACCGATCTTCATGGAAAGAAGCTGGCAAGGAACTTGACCTTGCGGCCCGGAGAAAGCGACCAAGGCCTGCTGCTATCGGTACTTCGAGGTCGTCATCCATGTTGGCAGGATCGGCGTCCATGTCACCGACCACAAGGCTCCCAAGCTACGGCTCTGCACCTGGTGTGAGACAGTCGAAATCGGCGCAATGTCTCAACTCACGCTACGCAGGTGTTCGGAAAGCATCTGCAGCTCAGCGTTCGCCTCTGAACCTGTCTTCATTTGCCGAAGCCGGGGCCCTGAGTACTTCCAAGCCAGAGATGTCGTCGATGCTGTCGCCCGCCGTCACCACGGGCGGGCTGGCTCCACCAACACCCCTTACACCAGATGACCTGCATCACTTCCTTCCAAATACCCCCAGTGATGGCGGTTACTGTCTGTCTGCCCAACCCACCAGCCAATTGTTCCCTACAACACAGCCCATGCAAATCAACATTGCCTCTCCTCCCGCTACGCCTCTGGCTATGGATATGCTTTCCACCTACCAGTACCACAATGTGGCTCCCCCAATGTCCGCTCCTGCCCATTATACTTCATTTCCTGATTATGTCACTTGCGAAGGAGCCCCTTTGACGGGCAGGAGTTGGACGGGTGCCAATTCGATGCCCTCACCAGAGGCAGCCTTCCAGAGCCGTGTCCCAATAACCCAGGCGGATGTTTCATCTCTGTCGTATGGACAAGCTCTGGAGCAGAGCCGACAACCTGCTGAGAGCCTCTCAGCTGCTGGGTCACCGCCCTTGATGTATACCACGGATGCCGATATGCATACGTCAACGGGGTCATTCCATGGTGACGCGAAGCCGACGGAGTTCTATATCCACGAATTTCCCGAGCAGCAGGAAGCCCATCGGTTTGTTGCGCAGCAGCTGCCGCAGAAACCAAAGGCGTATACCTTCAACAACCAAACGCCGAGCGATTGGAATGCAAATTAGATATCAAAAGGGGAAGTAAAATTATTCGGCGTTTGATTTCATGTATCGGGCTTACACACGGTCTCTTGGTGGTGATTTGTGCCATTATATCTCTTGTCTTTCCTATTGCATTGTCTGCTGTTACACTATGGGACTCCCTAATATCCCAGGTCTTGTCTGTTTGATTCCCAGAGCATTCGTGTTGGTGTGTTTCTTCGGCGTCTGCCATGGTTTGTTTTCATGTTCGGTTGTGATTAGTATTGGGTTGGAAATATTTTGGATATCGTTGGATTTTGCATATGTATTTGGAAGCGGCTGGACTTTTCTTTTGACTCGACATATATATTTGGAGGCTTGAGTTTCTTTGTGTCACGTATTTATTAACATCTATCTTTCTGTAATTACTATTAATACTGATAATATGGATGACGGTTGCAATCGCTTGCATCGTCGGACCTCTGGATTGTATACACGTGCTGCCCCATTCTTTCTTTCTTTCTTTTTTTTTTTTACATTCTTTTCTTGTTTGTTTTTCTTGGTAGGAGCTCCGAGAACGGTGGCATCTGTGCCGTGACTTCTGCCAATTATTTACCAATTGGCAGGTCGATCGATATTAAGTGGATGCGTCTGGAGACCGTTAGCTCCCACGTGCCGGCCTGGTAGGCAACAAATCGCGATTACACAATATCATCATGATGCCAGCCACGCCGGCACCTGACGAAACCAATCCTATATAATGAAGGCCGCCGATCTTGTGCTTTTGAGTCTACGACCTCTGTCAGTATTGTGCCTTTTATCATGAAGATCTTCGGTTTTACTTCAGTAGCGCTGGGCCTGGCTGCCTTTGCGGAAGCCTCGTATGTCAACTATACCACAGTAACTGGATATTTCTTGCAGGATGAAGCGACAACCGATCCATCCACCTTTGACTTTGTCAGTGTCTAAATTTCCCTTTGACCTCCATCATCGCTAACCACGAATTAGACTACCACCAACTTCGGACTGATCAATCGCACGTACCCAACCGACAAAGGACATAGCAACAAGAACAACCACCGTACCCAATGGGAGCGGTTCTACCACCAAGTAGTCGAACTGAAACGCGTGTCGCCTCCTAATGTCGATTATAAGGTCCTATTTCTGGGCCGCCACGGCGAAGGTTGGCACAACGCAGCCGAAGACTACTACGGCACGCCTGCCTGGAACGTGAGTAACAAAAATCGCCTATATTCATTCCGAATCACTATTTTGCTAACATCAACCAGTGCTACTGGTCCCTCCTGGACGGAAACGGCACTGCTACCTGGCGTGATGCCGAGCTCACAGAGGCCGGCGTTGAGCAGGCCCAAATCGCCCACGATTTCTGGCAAAAAGAGCTAGACACACAACACATCCACCCCCCGGACAGCTACTTCGTCAGCCCCCTAACCCGCACCCTTCGCACAGCGAACATCACCTTCTCTGGCCTCCGTCTCCCACACGGAAGCACCCCCTTCCGCCCTCTGATCAAAGAGTATCTCCGTGAAGGAATCAGCATCCACACATGCGATCAACGTCGCAACCGCACCTACATCCACGACCTATTCCCCACCTGGTCCATCGAGCACGGCTTCTCAGAGACAGACGAGCTCTGGAACGGCGTAACAGCCGAAACCAGCGCCGCGCAGGACCTCCGCAGTAAATCTGCCCTGGACTCGATCTTCCAAGCCAACAACTCCGGCCTCTTCGTCTCGGTTACGAGCCATTCGGGCGAAATTAGCTCGATCCTCCGTGTGGTCAAGCATCGTACATTTAAACTTAACACTGGTGCTGTCATACCTGTTCTCGTGCGCGCCGAGACCGTCCCTGAGACTCCGACTACGACCTCGGTTTCGTGGACTGCTAGTGCACACTGTACCGCACCGCCTGTTACGTCAGTTGACTCGTGTGTGTGCCCCTCTACGGCGGCTCCCGTGACAACGCCCTTGGTTACTGTTTCTGTATAAGGTAAGATTGTGATGTCTATATACTGCCTAGGAAATGGCAGTTTGTGTATCTATAAATGATGTTTTGCTAAATCTTGTTGCTGAAAAGTGTGTATATGCAGACTATAATTGACTGAATTTGATTCTCGATGTGACATAGGATATCGTAACTTCAATCTCAACTACTGGAATAAAACAAAATTCCACCAAAATGCAAGAGAGAAGATGGCAAAGGTACCAATCATTAAGCCAAAATATCCGCCAAAGAAGAATCATCATAGACATGCGCGCACGCATATAGTCCTTGCAACGGAGTACCTGTTCAATCAATTATCGAAAAGGGAAGATCATAGACAAATGGGGGAAATGTATTCAAATTAGAAGCCCCAGAGCATGAACCTGCGTGCAATCTGCATACTATAAACACAAACATTGAAAGCATCAACATACGCAACTAGCATCCGCAGGGCGCAGACTCCAATATCCAACATGAAAACATGAATAGCTGAGTAGAGTGAAGATAATCATAAAATGCTCGGTAAGGTAAACACTGAGAAGACCAGTAGACTGAAAACGCCCGCCTAGACCAAACAAAATATGACGAGAAGGAAAAAGAAGAGAAGAGAATAAAGGGAAATGGGTACAAGAAGAGTGGAGAATGACTTGAGCCATTCTGTTGATCGAGGCAAAGACATCTTTGCCAGGAAATGCGGCAGAAGGAAAAAAAAAAAAAAAAAGAAATCGCCACCGTCCTATCTGACCGGCCTTCTATCATTTGACATACAAGAGATGCACAACTTCCATACTAGTAACGTGTAAACCCTATGGAACCAAGGAAAGAGAACATAGAAACGAAATCACAACATCATCGGGTATAGCAGAGGGTATAGAAAGAAAATGCACAGATTATCATTAGCTGTTATCCTTGAGTAAGGATAGTGTATAGCAAAAAGCGGTATAACAAGGTGTTAGAAAGGGTGGAACGGCAAAACGAGCAGAAATGGAAACGAAGGGACATTGAACGTGTTCGATACACAAAGGTCACAACACCCTCCCAACGCCTCTTAGTCCCATGAACGCCAAAATTCTGGTCAACGCCGGCCATGACTTTCTTATTTCGTAGGCTTTTAGTAACCGGACCATCCAAGTGGAGCTCCGGATTGACCTGGCTGCGGATGCCCCGGTTGTATCGGTCCGCCGGGTGTTGGGGCCCAGCCAGGCATGGCACCTCCCGCGCTCATTCCCATGGCGAGGCCTGGTTGCTGCGGTGTTCCTGCCATAAACTGCTGACCACCAGGCCCCTGTGTCGAAGGGTACATGCCTCTTGCAGCTGTCATTGCAGCATATGGGGCCGCAGTACCGCCTGGAAAGCCCATGGATGCCATCGGCTGTTGTTGAGGTGCCTGTGGATGGTGTAATGGGAAAGCCTGCGGCATTTGTGGCGCAGACGGACGGGGTTGGTTCCGTGGAGACTGCGACGGATGTTGCGCGAGAGGTGAAGGCGAGTGTTGTTGTTGTGCATGTAGCTGGGAGGCATACTGTGGCATTCCCACAGCCTGCGGACCCGCAGCGGACAAGGGAGACGGTTGCGGTTGGGGCGGGGGTTGACCCCACATCTGCTGCGGCTGTGACGGATAACCGTATGGGCCTGAAGGCTGTGGAGTGCCTGCAGATAGAGAAGGGTTCGATCGCTGATGCATCAGGTCAGGGCGAACTGCAGGCCCTGTCCGGGCGGGAGACTGCCCAACAGGGGCTTGCGGGTGGGCGACCGCTTGCTGCAAGCCGGGCTGACCGGGTATCATTGGTGTTTGATGGGGGAGCATGGCCTGCTGCGGTTGGGTCGTGTTCATCATCGAAGCCGACGCGATTTGAGGAGACTGCAAGGGCTGAGATGCCGACGGAGCCGAATCGAGCTGTCCAGGTTGCGACTGAGCCGCGGACGCTGGAATCTCGCGTTGCTTGGAATAGAAATCCTCCAAGCCTTTCTGGCGATAGCTGCGCTGGGAACTCAGAATTTTATTGAAGTCGGCAGTATGAGAGGCCTGGTTCAGAATCTCCGCCGCCGAACTGGGTTGTGTCCGGTCCTGATACGGCTGACCAGTCAACTCTTGGCGGGCCCGAGGCATACTGTTGTACTCTCTCAGTCGCGGATCGTCCGTTGTGGTGGCCATATGGATCATCGGCAGCGGCGCCAGAGAAACGGACGACGGTGGACCCAGAGGTAAGCTGTTGGGCATAGCTTCAAGTGCATTGCTATAGATGACATCGCCATGGGCCAGGGCTGGTAGGAGGCTGGCAGCACTTGCCGCTTCCGCAGCGGCTGCATCACGAGCTTTGGCCCCTCCGGGGCGTTTCTCACCCGCCAGATCGTCCTCCGTGAAGCCCTGTTTTCGGGCCTTGCCCTCCCAATAGTCATCACGTACTCGCCGTCCATTCACGATTACTCGACTGCCAAACTGACGGAACATTGACCTTGCGGTCACAATGGCAATCTGACGTGACCGGTAAGAATATGGAAGGATATCCTGCTGAATCAAATCATCCTTTTCGATCTGAGTGGCGATAATCTTGTGCAAAGATCGATTTTTATTGAACAAGAGATATGAGTCGCGGTACCCAAGTACACGTGCGCATTCAGTTGCTAGCATGAAAAGCTTCGTTCCGCGGTGAGGCACACGGAACGTGCGACATTTGTACTCCCGGTTACCTGTAAGATAACCCATGGCATTAACCTTCTTCTCACCAGCCTCATCGAATTCCTTCGGGATGTACTCGTCGCCCTCCTCGTTCAGTTGGTCAGTCGTATGATCTCGGACAGTCGGGAGCGCCTTGACTAGAGTGGACTTGGTTGGGGTGGTCTTGTCCGGAGGCGATGCTTGCGGAGGTGATACGTTGACACCTGCCTGGTGAGGGAGGGGTTGTGCTTGCATTCGTGGGGTTTGCATATGAACATTAGTTGTCTGATCGCCAATAGCTGTAGCAGAGGGACGCGGCGTCTTCGGAGGGCGCCCACGCTTTCGACGGCCATGTTCGTCCGCTCCTGCTGGCAAATGGTCGAATGGACCACACGTTAGCCGTCAATGTACTCAACGAAGATTGCATAGGGGAAAGCGTGCACGCGTCAAATCAATAAAATAACAAGTAGTGCTTGAATGAGACGAAGCGGCTCGAGAGTGCCTCACACAGTGTGTAAGCAAACCGTATGAGACCTCGCGACGCGCACATACCGTCGTCATGATCTCCATCAGCGCGGGACAATCCGCGCTGATCTGGAGTCCGACTCCGCTTGATCCCGCGAGGAGCGGTGTTTGCGCTCGTACCAAACGAAGGTGTTGGTAAAATAACTGCGACTAGCAAAAGGCCGTCAGTTTGGAGGTTGTCGCGACGGACAAACACATAGATAAGTAAAAACTCGTAATGACCTCCATGAACGGCGATGGCCATACCCCCATTGTAATCAACCGCGATAGGCGATTCAACAAGGGTATTGCCTGAACAAAAAATAATCCAACGCCATGGCGGGATAAAGCCAGTCGGAAAATAAGTAAAAATGGGAGGGAGATAGGTAGAACGCGAACGAGGCAAGGTGAGGGAGTCAAAGAAACAACCAAGAACAAGAAGAAAAAAGGAAGTAAAGGGACAACATACCGCTGTTGGTATTCAAAGCAGCGGGATTAATAGTTCCCGAACCATCGACAAGGTCGCCTCCGATCCCATTCATGGGAGCGGAAACGGAGGAATGAGAGGTGCCATACATGGCGGGCCAAGGAGGACGGAAAGAGGTTGAAGAGCCGTCGCAAGGCCGCAAGGCGCGTCAACGAACGCGAAAGGTGTCAACACCAAAACAGGTGAGATGACGACTGGGTGGGCTACTGCAGCGAGACAAGACAGCAGAGGAGCTGTGACGATGCAAGTGATCCCCGGAACAATGAACGCAGACCACGATCTCGCATGCAGTGGGTGGTTGGACTGGAAGGTGGCAGGAAGCGGATCAGCGGGAAGGTTCAGAGCAAATCAGTGCCGCGCGAGCTTTGACAGGACTAGCAATGGTGTTAGGCGGTGAGACACCCAGAGAGACAAAAGAGGAACAATGGAGGCAAGGCAAGGCAGATGACAAGTGATTGTGTGGCTTGACGGGTTTGGGGGGGGGGGGGGGAGGGGGGAGGGAAGGTGACTAGGGACGGACACCGCCACACCTTGCGGCTGTGACGTGTTTTCTATTTGGAGGAGGAGAAAAGGAAATGGAGAGGGGCGAACCAGACGGGGGTTCCCTTTCCCAAGGTTCCTTTCCTGCAGAAAGCACTGTTACCCGACGGGCTTGAAGAGCGATAGGCTTAGGGAGGGGTTCAGCAGATAACACTTGAAGATGATTCACGCTGAGGGAACCGATCAGTGGGTACACCAGACTGGGGTTATGTGTGACCAACGGGCTGGTGTCTGTGTGTAGGTCGCAAGTGTGCCAGGCAACAGAACCGACGGGTTTATTGGGTTAGAGTGAAAGGGAAAACAAACCAGGACCAGCAGCTGGGTGGGGACCAAAGTTGGAGTTGGGACTGGGAAAGGAAAGGGGGCCACCCTAGGAAATGGAAAGAAAAATAAAATAAAAACCACAAGCAGATGATGAAAGAGGGAGGGAAAAAGAAAAGGGTAAGGTTAGTTGAGAGTCTGAAGGAGGGGGTCGGAAAGGAAGGGTTGTTGAACGATAGGATCACAGCTCAAGGCGGGAGGCGGCGCCACACCCTCCCTGATTGGCGGTGCACCGCTTGGGTCACGATTCAACGCGGGCGCATTGATGATCTCCTTCTCAGTCAAACAAACTACTACCTTCCCCGTCACAAATCCTACCCTAAGCTTCGCCTCGTGTTCTGACGCTTGAAACCCAACCCACAACCTAAAAGGAGAGTACCAGAGAAGAGAACAACAAGTGCAAGAAAGGATTCGGTAGAGAAGATAAATCAAAACCCAAAAGCAACGAATCGAGGTCCGAGGTCCGATAAGAATAGAAATGCTAACCGCGATAGAACACGTATGACGCGCCCCTCTAGCTCAGAAGGGAAAAGAGAAAGAAGAGATGAACGGACTTACTTCCCCAATCACTTCCTCAGTTGTTACCTAATCTAATCTAGTATTCGTCCTCGAGGATTTATTCTTCCACTTGATGATACTGGACAAGCAGCATGTGGACGATCGGGTAGCGCGGACGTATGGACGGACGACTAATTTAGTGCGTATTGGATAAGCACCGCTCGTCATGAAAACTGATCCCTGCACGATCGCTTGGTTCCGACTTATTCACGGCAAAATGCAGTAGCAGTCGGTTCCGGAGGAAATTGCCAAAGAAAAGAAGTAGTTGTATTTCCAATCCCCTGCCTCGCAGACAGAATCCAGCCTGTCCGGATGACTATAAAGAAAGAGAATAGTAGACCACCGACGTTGAAGTAGATTGATCGACGGTGCAATGGACGAAAGGGGTCTGATATCGATAGGGAATCAAGAGACTTTCGGTGATGATAACAACCCTTTGACGAAGAATGAGGCGCGATTGCGTGGATCAACCTTCGGTAGCAATAAATCAATCTATGCGTCCAGCTATTCGTGGATAAATGAGTAGGACCAGTAAAAACACAGTAACAATGGGATTTGGAATTCCAAAAAGAGGGTCCGATGAAAGTCAAAAACCAAAAAGCAAAAGGTAATCCATACTTTTGTCAGTAAATTGGAACACTGTCGCAGAACCACCGCGGGGCAATCCCTGGGTTTGGTACTCGGACAGAGCCGCTTCTCCCCCGGAACGAATGGATCTGACCGGTGTGATATCACTTTACCCAAGTGATTTCGGTTGGTGCTTTTTATTTTCTTTTGATTTTTTTCCTTTCCCTTTCCCCCACTTCTTTTTCTCTCCCTCTTTTGACCGTTGCGCGGAGCAAGTCAAACACGAGGGAAAAGGCGGATTTCTGAAGCGACGGTTGTGGCTTGTACTGTATGGAATGATAGTACAAGAATCGTGTCGCAGTCAAACAAGGCAGATAGCGTGGAGGAGAACTGCAGAAGCCAATGAAACTGGACTTAGTCCTTGCTAATAAGAGGTGCTGATGATGACGGCGATTGAACCATAGGCTTGATTAGTTGCAGACTAGTCCCTGGAATGAATGGCTTGCTTGGTGGATGCCTCCGAGGTAGGACGAGGTCAGCCCATCCGCCAAATTCTAGTCATTGGTCAGTGATGCGTTCCCTTTTAGTGTATCTACTTTAGACTCACTCGTACTAGTAGCAGTAGTGATGGGTGACCGGGAGATCCTCAATTATCCTGTCAAGACCCTACGTGGACTCTGTTGTCCGATTTTTAGCAGTTTCGACAAACCCTGCCTGACCACTAGGGGGAAATCTAAACCAGACAAGGCTGAGAGCACTAAGCGTTAAATAATACCGAGACAGCGAAAATGTAAAAGATACCAAGGGAAAAGGCTGGACGATTATGATATGATGATAAAAGGATGGATATTATCGGTCCGGCAGTCACCATTGACTCTTGTTCGCCTTCTCTCGTCTTGCAATTCACTGACTCAGTATTTCTAGAGTGAAATCCTAATTGACATGAAGAGATCATCGGTTCTACCGAATATGCTTGGAATGGAGGATCCATGACTGACCTGCTTTTTTTTTCTTGATTTTTGATGGAATCTCACGCCTTTCCACTTCAGGACCAATCACAAGACACGCGCTTCTCCTCGCTTTTGATTGATGATCGACCACCTCGTACGGTATTGTCATACTCCATCCATCACGCCGTTTCTGATTCTTTTGGGTATTAATGGTCATATTAACATGGATGAAAAGAGAAGAATAAGAATAATGACAACAATAACAACAACAATTATAATAATATCAAGCCTACGTGGCCCTATCAGTAGTGGAAAGACTGTTAGCCTCTATTTCTACTGGTAAGGAATGGTTGATCTACCAAGACGTGGAAGCGTCCCGTTCTGCTACCATGTCGATCCCGTCCTTAGTCCTCGGCGGAGAGAGAGAGACACAGATGGGAGAGAAAATCTCAACAGTATCAAGGGGTCATCGGTGTGTGATAAGTTTATTTATTTAAAATTAGGCTTGTGCAACCGGACAAAGCTTCATCTATTGATATCGATGTCATCCTCTAAACTAAACGGACGAGAGGTATAAGGTTCTCAATACATGCTCTCCAGCCGGAATTCTAAATAACTTCCTAATTAGGGTTGACCCCGAAGAAGTCCCATCGATGGGATTTGACATGGACAATTCTCCGCAATATTAAACTCGACGAAGGTATGCAGCATTCAAGCATGAGAAAGTAGAATAGAGTTAATGAGTATCGCCAAGTAAGACAGCTTGACGGGGAGTGAGACAAAAGATCAGAGACAATCGGAAACCATGCCGAAGTGGTCAGCTATCTGCCATCACAACGGTTACATCTGCCCCCCAGATACACTCCAACGTGAAATACTTGGATCGACCAGAGGAATCTCTCCCGGCCGGCCAGATACTTAAGGTGCCGGGGACATCCTCGAACCCTATAGGCTACTCAGAGCACAAAGCCCACAGAGTCCAGACATTCCAACGGGCAGATGACCAACGCCGACGACGGATTGACTTTGCACCGGAAGGTCACTTGAGCGGGAACTACAGTAGGGGCTGATCCCTGAGGACCGTGCGTTTGATATTCACAGTAACTTACGGTACATCGCTGGTAAGGAGGATGCTCTCCCAGATGGTGGATGTTTTGAGAGCCATCGCGAAAATCATTGATTCTACTCCGCCCCCAACTCCAACCTCAAGATCAACGGTAGCACATTACCAATAGCAAATATGCACAGCGTCCCCTCTCCGCCGCTTTAGTCCTACTCACCAGTAAATCTTAAATCGCGCCTCCTCATTAACGGCTTGGACTGAGGCCACTTCCATACGTCGCGTACTGTGTGGTTACACAGTCCTCAGATGTCCTTTGACTATCGGGGCTGTGTTGGGCGCTTCTTGCTTCTCTCCTTTTCTCTTTCATCCAATCGACATGGCACGATTCAAGCTTTCCCAGCCAGGTGCAGCGTAACATACCCATGTCTTTCGGGAGATAATGAACGGACGATAGCCGGGGAAGCCCGGGGTGAATGTGGAATCATTGGAGGTGATTCATGGTGCCAAGCAACTAAACAGTCACAGACAGGGAAATGGTATGCAAGTCATCACCAGAGCAGTTCCACATCAGGTGCAGATTAGGCCAGACCACGGACTCGGAGAAACACTAGGTCAAGTCCAACCGATGGTCTATATCTTGCAGGGGTTGTACTGCGGGAGCTCATAGCCATACAGGCTGGACTGCAACGTCTGTCCGACATGCTAGTAAACAGGTGGTAGAATTGGCGTTAACCATCGGACGTAGTAATAGATACTTCGATGTTGATCGAATTATGTCTTTGAAGTATCTGCATCTATACACTATCGGGATGTTATACCCATCCGTCATCTTTGCAGATGCCGTGGCTCTAAGACCAGTGCAGCTTTATGCATGGGCCTGCACGCGGCAACTTATCCTGCAAATGTATTCCCACAGAATGGTTCAACGTGCGCATCGGGTGACCCGCCCGCTATGTATCCCAATTATGATCAATCTAGTTGGGTAATAGTGGCGCAGAGATTCAAAACTCGAATGTATCTCTCTCGTCTCATGCAATTACCCGAGACAACGCGGCCCTGAATCTTGTATTTGACTCATGTGCAACCATATGGGCGCGACTGCAGCATTGTTGAGACTGGAGGAAGGTCCGTTGCGTTCTCGAAACTTACTGGGATCAAGATGAAGTACAAGCTATCACTCTGAGCCCCTTTGCTCCTCTGTCATCCGAATGCCCATGGAGGCCGCGTCCTCGATTCAAGCGCAACATGGAACGACTCGAACATTCTTGTTTGCCTGGAGATGTATAAATCATTTCCGGGTGCAGGGTCCCAGTATGCGCGAAGTCTTTTCCCTGACGATGTTCCAGATGGAGGGAAGTCTGGAGTAGGAGATGGCTTGTGGATATTGACCTCTGGAGGCGGAGATTCACGTAGAATGTCTCCCTCAATGCTCTGATCAGGAACGTCTGGTGCTTCCCCACAAGGTACACCGTCGTTATCCTCGAGCTTTGCGTCTACCCCGACAGCCATCTCATCCAGATGGACAGCGCGAGCGATCTCATCATTGAACTCTATATCGGCTTCCTCGAGTCTTTCGTTGCCCCCGGCGTCTTCTTCAATAGTGAAAACTTCATGAACAGTCTCATCGCTTGACAACATATCACTCCCCACCAGTAGTCTCCCGTCGTTTCCCTCAGACGAACCCTCTTCAACAGTATCTCCTTCATCCCGACCGGCCTCGCCGGCTATTTCGTCCTGGAATACTATGCTATGGCTCTCACATTTATCAACTTTTCCACCGTCCTCTTCTTCCCAATTGGCATCGTGAATGACGGTTTCATCGCTACTGATATCGATTTCGCTCATTTCCACTTCCGCTCGTTCATCCTCTTCCTCGATATCTGTACAGACACTCTCATCGATATATGTGGGCGCAACACGTGGTGTTCGTCGCGTTGCGAGACGAACATAATATGGAACGAGAAGAATGATGAAGCAAGGAGAAAGTGCGGTGGTCAGGGCAGACAAAGGTGGCCCAACTTGGACCAGAAACGCAGGAGGTTCTCTCGTGATGGTGAAGAAGACTACTGCGACCGTGATCCGCACAGCTGTATAGAACTGTGCGAGAACCTCTGACGGTATGTGGGAGGATGTACGAAGGTCCATGACCCCGAGATGATTGACATGGGATTCCTTGCTGGTTGTCAAACAGCGATTTACTGGGGTGACTTTGAATGTTGCACGTACATCTCCTCGAGCTCATGAATGGAGTTAGTAACTGCATACCTAATTTGATGATTCAGGAAAAACTTTATCGGGATTGGATGATCTCAGGTTGATCCAGCCAATGCTAGCGTTGCGTTCATTACAACTACGACTTGTACCCCCAGTCCCACTGCAAATCTAGACTTCGGCCTGAACACCGTTCACCAAATAACACTGAACTTGTATCAAGAGCTGACAATGGACGTGATAGGGTACAATATTTACAGTGGTGGGGTATTGATGCCGAGGTTACATTGTGTCCTCATTCTACATGTCCATTGTGATTAATTCTATGCAGGGGCCGATGTTCTTTTTTCTTTGCTGCAGTGGATGTTGTGAATCTTCGATTCAACCGAAAATAAACCGGGTTCGCCAGCGATAATCCTCGGCAAAGCAACCATTCGCTCTTTTATCCTTCGCTTTGCTACTTCCAATTCTGGTATCGTGTCGCCTGCTCACTTGTATGATATCAAGATTGCCGTATAGCGAGGGACCCTTCCTTTGTCCAACCCATTTCCCCGGAGCATCCCAGGCCTTTGTCTAACGCTGAGGCGGAGTTGCCTTTTTCAAACCTAGCGCCTCCCGCAATCCAAAAGGGAGATTTATGACTTCAATTGAGGGAGCAGTGACGAGTTGTGGCAATGGAGCTGTCATATAAACTTAATATACGATTTCATGACGGGTCATGAAGTCATACACAGTGGCATTGTCAGAGTCAATTGTACGATGGGGCGAATATTACATCATCACATCTCATTTCAAGGCAGAACCAAAAGAAAAAAGTGGACTGACTACTGTACTCAGTATGTTTGATTATGTACCCCATGGAGTAGTAAAAAGTAAATGCCATCTTTTGGCTTAAGATAACCGTATCTATCTTTGATAAAGAAGTACTAGTAGTAGTCGAATCAGACTGATGCCTTAGGTCGCACCGCATTAATCCATACTCAGGTAATTTTCCTCCAATTATTCCTCACCGAAGGGCAACTCCACTCGAGTCTCGACCTTAGTCAGAGAATAAGAGTCTTAGTAAGGTTTGCTGGCGCAACCCTTATCAGGGTTAGACTATTACCATTTCCGCCTAGCGTTACTCTGTATAGTAACGAGCCTAACCAAGAAAGTTTGACCCCGCAAAAAGTGGCCAATGGGAGCACGTGAGCATCCCTGACTCAATCGTTCCATTCGTCTTCCACGATTGAGTCCCTGCTGATTCTGGGTGTAGCATTCCACCTGCATTGAGGGATCTTCCGATTGTTCTCCTTCATTTTACTGGAAATACAGGGCGATCCAATCTGAATTGGTGATGCGGAACGGGTAAAAATGCATGACTCGGTCGAGAAACTAAAGACCGAGACTGGAAAACGCACAGTAATGATAATCAGAAAGGGAGAGGAAAAAAAAAAAAATAACATAAAAACGGAAAAAGAAAAAAGGAAAAAAGAAACAAAATGATTATTCATAATCATTGACGAGTAGACTAACTGCCCCTAACGCCTCCCCGGCGTGGAAGATTCCATGGTGCCGACAGAACCGGACCCACAACATGGTCAGCTGGCTCACTTGGTTTTTGTAGTGGAGTCGCCCAGTAGTACGCAACCCTTTTTCTCCTGGCAGAACTTGCGCTGGTCTCGGTCAGCAATTCGCCTCACCACCGAAGCCACGGGGTGGGCTACGATGGACGAAAAAGACCCTGGCAAAAAGGGACCAATTCATCGGACACTTCAATCAATTATGAACTAGGTTTGGTCGTGGTCGATGGCCAGGGGATTGGTGGGTGGTGAGGGGGGGAGAAACATTAGAGCAACCGAAGCAATGCCCCGGTGGACAAGTTGGGTTCTATGAGTCTAGGCCTAGCTGGATCGTCCGCTTGCAGAATCTGCCAGATCAGATGGTCATCAGGTCGGGTTTCTGTTTTGGGGTCTCCCGTACTACGCAACCCTAGTTTCCTGGGTCTGGAATGCCTGGGCTTTCTTCTCTCTTGGTGACTCCCCTCGGGCCCCATAGCCTTTCGCTACTCTTAAGAGTTTCCCTTCCCATCCCATTTTTCCTTTCTTCTCTTTTACCCTCTCCCCAGATTTTCACTCCCACTGTGCTTTAATTCAGCGTACTTGATATTCCTCGCAATCTGTCGCATCTCGCAAAATTTTATCTCTGTCTCATTGACTATCGCGCATACAATTTCAACCCATCCAACTCCATAATCGCTTAATCAACACGACGAGACAGCACAACAAGAGAAGAAAAATACAACCACCACAGAGCAACCGCCAATCATGGCCGTAGCAACCATCGACATTATGCCGAAGCAGGCATCCTCCTCTCCTCTGTCCTCCAACAACCCCTCCATGAACAAGCGCTGGCCCCCTCTTGCCGACAAGACCTCCCTGCCTTACAAGCTCACTACCCTGTCACGCCAGAAGCTCGCCCGGGAGGCCACTGCCCCAGACCCAGATATCAGACGGTGCCTCGGCCACTTCCGCCTGCACGTTATCTCCATGGAGTGGGCACAGAAGGACATGACTACTCGAATCAACTCTTTCGAACTGGAGGATGACGAGTCCGAAGAGGAGGAGGAAGACAGCAAGCGTGACGACGCTAAGGAGAAGGATTCTGATGAGAGTGACTCCACCGAAGATGAGAAGGAAGACTCCGAGACCAAGGCCAAAGAGGGTACTGCTACCGACGCCCCTTCGGACAAGGAACCCGTCCAGGTGACCTTCACCGTCTCCTTCGACCAATCTGCTCCAACTCCTCCCTCTCCATCCGATGATAAAGAACAAGGTCTCTTGGAGAAAGGCCGCAACTGTCTAGAGAAGACAAAACACCTTTGGCAATCACCTGCGCAGTGCATACCCGTTCGCATTGCCGGGTAACTGGGCAAGCCATTCACAACCATCCACTACCAACACGCGTACTGGGGACACCACCTACCCGCAGCAAAACATACGCATAATCTCCACTTACGAAGTTACGAAGCAACGAATCTCATTTTTTTTCATTTCCATATACATATTTCAGACCGGAAGCGCAAGCGCAGCAGGATCGGAGTTTACAGGGAGTTCACAACGAACCACATCATCGACAATCAATCAATCATGTATCTAATAGAAAAAGTCGCTCACATGAACATGTCACCACATGTTTGAATATTTATATAATAAATAGCCAACCAAAAATTCAAAAAACCATTCAATAAAGAACTGAACTCATCCACTCATAATCCAAACCCAACCACCCAAATCTTATAGTTCTAGTACTAGTTTCACCAGTAACTACCCCCCAAATAACTTGGTAATATCGAAGTATGACTCAAAAGCCTCCCGAAAACAATAACCGAAAAAGAAAAGGAAAATGAAAATAAGAAAAAGAAAACCCACCCCCACAACCCATAAAACATAGGTAATCACGCGCGTCGTACCTGGAAGTCACAAACCACATCGATCTGCACCTCCTCGCAACATGATAGGCGATGCTGAGCCTCTCTCCCCCACAATCTCCCTGAACCCACGTTGCGGTCTAAGGAATACTATTCCGTTGAGTCAGCAATCCTGGGGCCAAGAAAAAGAAAAATGTGGGGAAAAATGATCAATTCATTGTTTTTTTTTTTTTTAACTCCTTGCTTGGTTGCATGTTCTATTTAGCCGGATTCGGAGTTTCCGGTTTCTAGGTTTTGTGGTTATGGATTATTATGGTTCCTTGGGTTTTTTTCCTTGGCTGTGGGGGAAGGAGGATTGATTGGAGGTGACTCGAGAGAGTTACTTTTAGTTTTTATGGAGTAAGTCGATGGGTGGTAATTCTATTCTGCCTTTTTTGGGGGGGAGGGAAACTAGCAAAGTTCCGTTTCTTTAGTCCGGAGGTGAGGGAGAGGAACTCCGAAGTAGTAGTTACTAAGTACCTTTCCTTTAGGTAAGTAAGTAGCCCTCGCCTTCTCAAAAGAGATAATTTACGCGCTCTAGGGATGGGGTACGTTTAACCGCTGCGCCCTTTCTCTTCTACTACTTACTAGTATTTAGTCTCTGATAGTATAGAGTACCTATGTACTCCGTACAAGTGTTAACTACGTGGACTTCTTTTCTTTTCTTATGACCTACTAAGTTATATTAACGTAGTCCAAGTACCGGTACATACTCAAGGCCCCCCAGATCCAAATCTAATTGAACCAGATTATATTCTAATAATGAAAACTGTAAACTAGTCCTCAAACTAGCTATTATTCGACCTATGATCTGATCGTGAACTTAGGTAAGATGTTTTAGTTCCCCCGTTTTCAATAATGGTCTGGAGTGGGAATCCATTAGTTTCGTATTAAGTGGTCGCATGACCTCGTTTCTGCCCGGTTAGTGCTGTTTTGACACGGATGAAGGGGCACACTATGTATGGGCTGTCGATCTTGGGTAGGGAGCTCATGGCATACCATATCATATCATATCATATCATATCGTATCATATCAGATCATATGAACGATGGATGGATGGGCTGGTTGGTTGTTATGGTTTATGGACGTTGGATATGGTTTTAAATTTTTAGTGTACGTACTGGGGGGATGTGGTTGGTCGGCGTGGTTGCATGATTGTAAGGGCATGGATGGATGGATTGTTCATGGTCCGTGGGTTATGTTGGTCTAAGCGTGATAGGACACGTAGCGCTGTCTGTCTGTTGACCTGTCTTATTGTTGGAAGTCTAGTCCGTATTCAATCGAGGAGAGGGATTCTTATTCTTAAAACTTGAAAAGTCTCATGTTGAAATTGTTAGGTTCAGGTCGTCTATGCTCATGATGTATCGAAACTAAAAACTGCAGTCCTACCCAATCCCATCCCAACAACCCTAAACGCCCGCTAAGCACACAAAGTCCTGCCATGATTGTCTTGTGTTTACAAACCAAGATCGTCATCATCGTCCCATCCCAAGTGCGCGTAGATTGATTTCTCGGGTGTCACCGGCACCGCTGTGCTTGTCGGGACAGATAATCTGGCAGACGCCTTAACTGGTGTTCCGAGCACCTTCACTGGCGTATCTGCGGCTACCTCTGTGGGCCCGTCGGTCTGGATAAGTGGCACTGTGAGGTTTTGTCTCGGTGGAGTTTCCATCACGAGTGAACTGGTCGGTTCGGTGGCCTTGTCTGGACGAGACTTGGTGCGCCGTGATGCGACGGGCGTTGTCGGTGCCATGTCGGTCGATCGGGGCATCGGGCGCCGAGGTACGCGGAAGAGGTTTCCGGAGGAAAGGGGTGATTCGGCCACCCCGGTTGCCGGTCCATCAAATGGCCCTAACGGCTGAGTTGGCCGTCGTGTTGGGGTCTCCTGGATCGCATTCATGTCTCTGGAGCTGGAAGTAATAGAGAATGATTTGGGTCGCGTGGTAGAAGCAGGGATCACAGGTGATCCGTCACCTCCAAAGAATGAAGACGCCTTTGGTTGCGTAGATGACTGCATCGACAAGCCTCGGGGAAGAGGAGGCATGCCTATGATGGCATCCCTCTTTCGGCTGCCCTTCGGTGTAGCTGCAACCTGGACACCTTCTCCGAACGGGTTGCGGACAGGATTTTTCGGCTTCCTTGCACTGCCACCTGTGCGTCTCTTCTCAGCATCTTCGGCAATGTCCTTGGCGACAAGCTCCCTGTTCGGTTTCCGAAGGGCGTGGATCGCGGCGTCGAGCTCCTTCTTCTGATCCATGAGCATCTGCATCTTCCTCAGTTTGGTCTCATGCTGCCGGGCCACAGCGTTCAGGTCGACTTCACGATTGTCTACCCGCTTGGCCTTCTGAATACCGCCTCGTACATTAGCGCTCAAGGAAGGTAACAAGGGTTCCATCGACTCCCGCTCGGATTGTGATGGTATTGTATTGAAGCGACTCAGCGATTGTCGACGTCCTTTGGAGGCTGTTTGTTCATCCGTTAATACGCGTTGCAATGTACGACGAGGATGCTTTTGTGATGGTTGCCGTTCAACAGCAGCCCCAGGCTCTGCTCGGGGCACATTCTTCGGTTGGGGCTTCTTGGGGAAAGGCGATAGCACGCTAGGGACCCCGAGTTTCCTGGTGATCGATTTGCATTTATCTGGTAGGCGTGAAGCATAAAAGGGTATGATGACTTCAGTACAAAAGTCCCGAACGGCATCACTTTCGACCTTCTTGCCCCCCGACTCGTTGTCGCCATAGACTTTATTTGGATCAGACACTGCAACATCGTCGAAGCTAACAGCATGCCAGATGCACAGCCGATCGAGGTGCAGTTCAAGCATCACTTTCAAATCTTGTAGTTTTTTAGGCTTTGATATTTTTGTCTTGTCGGACCCGTCACCATCCTCAGTAGACTTTGCTTCATCAGCCATAGTGGCTTCCAGAGCCATCGTTTCGAGAATGAGAAGGATCTGGAGCTGGGTTTCTCGTAGCCGTAAATCAGCAACATGCTTCTTCAGCTCCGCGTCCCGCGACGTCTCGGTTGACACTCCTTGATCTGCAAGCGCTCGATCTTTCCACCATGTCCGAATAAACTGTTCCTCCGTAGAGTAAAGCCCGTTTTTCCCAAGCTTCTTCTTATTCTTTCTCTTCTTCTTTAACGTCGATTCATCGTCCGAAAGACTGAGCATAACGTCTTTCAGAGTCGAAGGAAGCGTCTCTCGGTACTTGAGATCCATTTTTTTAGCCGTAAGAACAGCCTCCCGATAAAACTCAACGAGTTCCGAGGGCTGAGCAGTCCCCGGTTCAGACGACTGAAAAGCCGTACGGCAACGTGCCAGCGGACCTTTAGCAAAGTATGCCACGGAAGTCTTTCACAATTAGTACAGAAACACAACTAGACCCAAACCCAACATACCTTCGAAATATAGAGGGCTTGCAGATACTGCTCCCTCAGACTATCCAGCAGTTCCTGCGGCGACTGAGGAGATTCATTCTTCATAGACTCCGTCCCGATGCCATCACCACCACCGTGCTCTTGAGAATCCCCCGCAATAGGCATGATCACATCAGAGCTCACGCCTCTCTCCAAATATGCCTGAGGTGCCACGGATTGACCCCGACTCTCACCCGAATCCACCGGTGACACATCCTGCAGGCGCACATCGTGATCGGCAATGCCGAAAACAACAGAAACGTCAAACTTGGTTCGCTTGGTAGAATAATGAGGATCCGGAACGGGATCATCAACCTGCGCCATCAACCACCAGTCACCACCCCCCTCAGGAGCAGACGTGCGTCGATGAGCTTGTTCCACCTCCGACGGACTCCACCCTTTCACAGCAACAATGATGTCCCCTTCTTCCACACCGCGAGCAAGTTTTGAGAGCGCATAGATCCCCTTCTTAACTCGCTCGACGACGTAAAGCCCACCATCGGACGCCAGTCGTACAGCCAGAACTACGGGCTCTGTTCGCAAACCATTCTCAAACACTGGGATATCTGCAATGAATAAACTGCCGGACTGTATCTCGGACAGCAAGGTGGGGGAGAAATCCAGCCATGAGAATGGCAATCGGCAGCGCGGAATAATGGCAATCGGTTCTAGGACATATGGCTCATCGGATAAGGATGCGGCATGGGCCTGTGTATTGCGGGTCGGTCAGTATCCGACCACACGGTGTGGGATAAGTTGTCGTCGCTCACCCGAATGCTAATGGTTTGTTTGGTCCAGGCATTTTCGAGGCGACATGCTTTCCGCTTTTTGGAGGGCGGGTTGGTGATGACCTCTTGGAGGGGTTTTTCTGAGAAAGGGTCAAGGGCGCTGGAGGAAACACGCGAGGCCATGAACGCGTTTGGTTAAGCATGCATTGTGCGCTTTCATAAAGGAGGATGAAGAATAAACAAGGCTCAACTTGACAGAGGGTAATGCCAAGAGGGACTTGGTATAGTTGAGTAATCGAGAGATAATGATACGATATGGATTGATAGGGTCACTAATTCTATGTCCCGAAAATGCTGGCCCGCGACGACGCGATTAAATTGGGGCCGTCTTGGCATCACGCGTCACGGTTCGGACAATCTTCGACATACGCACACGGAAAATGACTTACAGCTAACTAATTGTTACAGTTTAGAGCTGATCTTTTAATAGTAGACCTCCCCCACACTGTTAAGGTCTACATAACTGCCTTTAGGAATTTGAGGGTCACGTCGCAAAGCAGTTTGAGGGAGAGTTATCTACAAACAACGGATGATATGGGATGGTTACTGTGCTTACAACATCTACACGGAAGCGTAAAGGCCATATAAATGGTTTATTGTTCATTACTCTATAATGCTAATGTTTAGATTAGCACAACTATGACTGGGCAAATGCCGCCGGCCATAGATAGATCATCTCCTCTGGAACGCTTGTCCGAAGCACAGCTTACGACAAGCGTCCACAAACTTCTGTGCGGACCTGGTTTGAATGACGCTGGTGGTCCACAAGTGCCAAGCCTGAGGAGGCAGTGTGTTGAAGACTTTCGCTCCCAGATAACGCCGTAACATCCCTCCCAACAGATGAAAAGTGGTATCATGTTGAATTTATCCCGCCGAACCCGCCTTTTTATAGACGATCATGCAAAAATTATAAAGGAAATATGGAACAAAGCTTTTCTGACGTGTCTATGCTCATGCTTTGAGTTGTTGAAACAAAGCAAAATCATCACATTCGTAACGAAACAGGAGAAGGAAGATTATGCAGTCACAGCGACGCGCTTAGAACTTGAGGGCCTTAGGCTTCTCCCAGGAGAACTCCTGGTTGGTGAAGTGACCGTTCTTGGCGGTCTGGAAGTAGATGGGCTTGGCCAGATCGAGCTCCTTGACGATGACACCGGGACGGAGGTCAAAGTTGTTGCGGATAATCTGGACGAGCTCCTCGGAGGACTTCTGGGAAGTACCGTAGGTCTCAACGAAGAGGGACAGGGGCTCAGCGACACCAATAGCGTAGGAGAGCTGGACAAGGGCACGACGAGCGAGACCAGCGTTGACCAGGGACTTAGCGACCCAACGGGCAACGTAGGCGGCGGAACGGTCGACCTTGGAGTAATCCTTGCCAGAGAAAGCACCACCACCGTGAGCACCCCAGCCACCGTAGGTGTCGACGATGATCTTACGGCCGGTCAGACCGGCGTCACCCTGGGGACCACCAATGACGAAACGGCCGGAGGGCTGGATGTGGTAGACAGTACGGTCGTCGAGCAGCTCGGCAGGAATGACCTGCTTAATGATCTTCTCCTTGAGAGCAACACGGAGGTCCTCAGTGGAGATATCATCGCTGTGCTGAGCAGAGATGACAACGGTGTCGACACGCAGGGGCTTGACAGCACCGTTGTCGTGAGCGTACTCAATGGTGACCTGGGTCTTGGTGTCAGGGCGGAGCCAGGGGATGGAGCCATTTTTACGGGCATCAGTCATGGCCTTGTTGAGCTTATGGGAAAGGATGACAGTCAAGGGGAGGAGCTCAGGGGTCTCATCGGTGGCATAACCGAACATGATACCCTGGTCACCAGCACCGAGCTTCTCAAGGGCCTCCTCGTAGTGAAGACCCTGGGCGATATCAGGGGACTGCTGCTCAATAGCGACCAAGACATTGCAGGTCTTGTAGTCGAAACCCTTTTCGGAAGCATCGTAGCCGATATCCTGAATGGCACCACGGATGACCTTCTGGTAGTCAAGCTGGGCCTTGGTAGTGATTTCACCGAAGACCATGACCATACCTGGGACAATGTTAGCATTTGCACATTATCTGACATAAACAATATCATTGTTTATGTAAAGGTATTTGTTACATACCAGTCTTGGTGGCGGTCTCACAAGCGACCTATTCATGGTAACCAGATTAGTACGTGCTAAGATTAGGTGCGGAGATAAAGCCGGTCCAATCGGGTGGGGCAAGGAGGAAAAAAAAAAAAAAAAAAAAGGGAGGGGGGTTTTCCGCAAATAAGCAAAACAATTTCCGCTCCGTACCTTAGAGAGGGGATCCTCAGCAAGGCAAGCATCGAGGATGGCATCAGAGACCTGGTCACTAATTCAAGGGTTAGACCATTGTTCAAATTGTATCAATGGGTGTGACCTTGAGTAGGGTTGCAATGGGAGTGTAAGGGGGACGAACGCAATCTTATCGGGGTGACCCTCTCCGACGGACTCGGAGGTGAAAAGGAAAGTGCCGGACTTGGGGAGGTTTGCGACGGAGCCCATTGTGAAGGATGAGGATAAATAAGAGGGAGGAATTAATTGAAGAAAGAGAGTACAGAGGTGACGGAGAAGGAGCGTCAATTCCACAAGGTGGGAGAGAGAAGAGATATATTAGTGAGATGAGATGAGATCTGAGGGAAAAAGAAGAGGGGGGCGGGAGGAGGGAAAAGAAATCGAGGGGAATCTGGCCGTATTAATGTGCCGCCGATGGCGCCATCTTCCTCCGGCGGTCACTCTCGGCAGAAAAAGTGCGCATTCTGACATCTGCGCCAATCCCCGACGTCCGACAGTGAATGTGCAGCATATCGTGACAGATCGCCCCTGACTTTCTGCGGCTGGCCCATTTAGCGCGGAGTCCACGGTGACGGTGACGGCAGACAGGCTATAACTATCCCTTGTTTACTGCGGTAGTGCCCCATCTCCCCTGATCTTGTTCGTGCATCCATTATCTAGCGTCTTAGCGTCGTATACGGACGCGGTTAATAAACCTCTCTACCCCGCGCATCTTACCTCAGAAAAATGTCTAAGTTCGGTGTCTTGGTAATGGGCCCTGCGGGTGCAGGGAAAACCACCTTTTGCAATGCCGTCATTCAACATCTCCAGCATACTCGCCGAAGTTGTTTCTACGTCAACCTGGACCCGGCCGCCGAAAGTTTCAGCTATGAACCTGACTTGGATATTCGCGAACTGATCACTCTCGAAGATGTCATGGAGGAAATGGGCCTGGGGCCCAATGGAGGACTGATCTATTGCTTTGAGTTCCTCCTGCAGAATTTGGACTTCCTATCGGAAGCCTTGGATCCGTTGAGCGAAGAATATCTGATTATCTTCGACATGCCGGGCCAGATCGAGCTCTACACACATATACCCCTCCTGCCGTCATTGGTGCAGTTTCTGTCGCGTGCGGGGCCCCTGAACATCAATCTCTGTGCGGCTTATCTCCTCGAAAGTACCTTTGTCGTTGACAAAGCCAAGTTCTTTGCCGGCACTTTAAGTGCCATGTCCGCAATGCTGATGCTCGAGATGCCCCACGTAAATATTCTGACTAAGATGGACCAGGTCCGGGACATGGTTACTCGCAAAGAATTAAAGAGATTCACCAATGTGGACGTACAGTTGCTGCAGGATGATGACGCTGATGCGATGGGGGACCCGTCGTCCAAAGATACATTGCTCAGCGGTGGCTCATTTAAACAGCTCAATCGGGCCGTCGGTCAACTCATTGATGACTTCAGTATGGTTTCATTTTTGCAACTAGAAGTGCAGGACGAGGACAGTGTCGCCGCTGTTCTGAGCCATATTGACGACGCTACTCAATTCCATGAAGCGCAAGAACCGCGCGAACCCAACGATGAGCAGGAGGTTAATTACGAGGATGCAGACATATGATCAGAAATATGAAGGAATTAATTGCCAAATTAGCCTTGTTAGAACATACACCTGGGACCTACCGGCGGCAACAAGACGGAACCATTTCATCCCTCCACCTTGTTATCATCCGACCCGCCAGGGGCACCAGAAGGTCACTGATACGCTTTGATCCCGTGGCAAGGATTTGCCCGCTTAGCCGGATCAGAGCCAATAATCAGCATCAGTGTGCTGGCGAGCAGTCAATGCAAAACCCAATCATCGGGCGCTTGCTCCCTCATCTGAGGCGCAGACATACCACGATATAGTCATGTATCTAAACGGACTCCATCATGAAAACAAAATAATGTCGCAAATAATAATGAATAATGTATGCATAATAATCCCAACATTGTAGAAGCGCAACGAAGGAAAATGTGAAGGGGAAAAAAAACATTAACGCTGATAATGCAAATATCACCAACTCCCTAAGTTGGCACTTTTCTCCAGCACATACCCAAGAACAGTGCAACAGCATTAATCACACATGAATCGTAAAAACCAAGTCGAGACAGCTAAAAGCTCAACTCCTCCCTATAGGGACCTGGAAATCCCGACCAGAAGCATACCCTCCCCAACCTCCAGTAGCCGACGAAGATCTCTGACCGCCCTCAAACCCATCCTGGAACTTCTCCGCGAACCCCTTCACGACTCCGTAGAACCAGCCTAGGTCGCGACCGGTCTTCTCTAACCCAGCATTATACGCGTACCAGATGGCTCCGAGGATAAATCCCCACCAGATTAATCGCAGCGCCAACGTAACCCAGAACATGACGACACGTCGCGCATAGTCAAGGACCTTGAGAGAGATGATGAGAATGAGAGCGAGAATAAGGACCGAGACAAGGTCGGACGTTGAAGAGGCGAGCATGGTGGCAAGAGGCTGGATGATGTATGGGTCCAGGTAGCTTGTTTTCAGGTGAGAGATGTAGGGATCCAGGTATGTGGTGCGGGCGTTGTTGACGTGAAACGCGATCGAGGATGAGGTGAGTTGTTGGATTGTAGGGTTGTCTTGAATTAGGGATAAGATCGATTCTTGTGTCGGTTGTTAGTGATCGCCAGGAAGGTGTGTATTGTTATCATAAACTTACCAGGGAGGAAGTCCATAGCGACAAAGTTGTGCGGTTGTTTGCGTTTGGCAAAGACAGATACAGTAGACAAGAGGTAGACAAAAGCTCGAAACAGTCTAGGGATCGCTCTTTATAAAGGAGCCAAAAAAAAAAAAATCCTATCACCGGTATAAGGAGTACAAATGCATGATTGTTGTATGTCTGAGACATGTGCATTCCTCGGAGGACAGATCAAGCAGAACAAACAAGCGAGCAAACCAAACAAACACACGGAAGGGACCATGTCAGCTGCATGCATGTATTACTCTTGGTCGCCCTTTCCCCCTCTATATATCTATGGGTGTATTAAATTTGATCACACCATGATCACGGTATATACATGTCCACATCCCTTGTGGATTCAGTTTCGACCATATACAAACGTCGTCAAATATGCACAGCGCCCAAGTAGTTGTGGTCTTGAGCCAAAGAAAAGCATCACACACTAGGCGCTACCATGCGCCTCCAAAACAGAAATAACGACTCTTTGTAACGCCGGAACACCGACACCAAGCGCCAGGGGACACAATCGTCAGTATATATACAAGATGAATAACGTAACATAACCAGGAGGGAGGTGGATTAGCCCTGTAGGGCCTTGAAAGCATCCCGCTCAGCCTGAATCTCAGCCTGCAGTTTCCGAGTTTGGCGAAGTGCCTCGTCGCTGTACACACGTTAGTCATATCCAATCAACAAGAGGAAAGTACAAGTCGACGGTACTTACCGGTCAGACTGAAGTTCAGCCACTTCGATCTGCGCACGGTTCATGCGGCTAACTACTTCGCCCATCTCCATATCAGCGTCGCGGAGAAGTCTTTCGAGTTCTTTCACCCGCCGCTCCAGGGCCTCCGGCTTTACGGCCTGGTTCAGCGAAATTCCATCGCCGCTAGTGGTTTTATCTAGGCGGGGAGAGCGTGCAACGAAGGGCGATGAAGGAGGCATGGGGGACAAGCCGGCGGGGCTACGAGCACCATTCTTCATCCGAGACAACTGAGCGTTATGGCTCTCATTCAGCTGGTGAATCTCTTCTTCATGCCGCGCCATTTCCTCCTCGGCGTGTTGTTGAGCTATCAAAAGGGTGTCTTCGAGCTCCTTCAGACGCGCCTGCATTTCATTGATCCGAACCGCAGAAAGCTGTTGCTCTTTTTCACCTTTGCCGATAGCGTCTGCCAAGCGGCTGCGCAACGCGTTGTTCCGCTCGAGCTGGTTCTGCACATGCTGCGAAAGGCTTTCCGTTCGACTAACCGAGGCTGCTAGCTGGCCATGTTCTTCCTGAGGCGACTGAATGGCGCTTGCTTCAGCTTGCTCCCGTTCTGCCTGGAGCTGCTTATATGCCGACTCTAATGATGATGAGGTGGCTAGTACCTCAGCAAAGCCGTCTTGGTCAGCCCCGAGGCCTTCTGGAACGGTGATATCATGTTCGTGCAGTAACACCCGAAGGGACGTGGTCTCCTGCTCAGCACGGTCAAGGTCCATCTTGAGCCCTGCCAATCCTTTTTCGCACTGCCATTTCTGATCCAGCGCCTCTTCGGCGCGTTGCCGGAGATGATTGACTTCCTCTCTCAGATTACGGACTTCTCTCTCGTAACCCAGTTTGCGTGGAGAGCCTAATTGCTGTGCGTGAGCAAGCTCTAGCTCCATCAGCCGGATACGCTTCTCATATTCCCGAGCTTCGTAAGCCTGACGGTCGAGCAAGCGCCGAAGGGCGTGGTGAAGTGCGTCGCGCTGTGCTTCAACACTCTCTATCCGATCTGCCATGGATTCCCGGGGTTCAACCCCTTTGGGAGTGACTGGACTCGACTGCGACAGAGAGTTAGAACGGGACAGTCCTGTTCGTACGGTAGGCTTTGAATGCATCCGAGCCAATGAACTGGAGCGTGACAATCCAACTGCAGAGTTCCTCTTGCTACTTTCACCGTCCTCCGATATGGTAGCAAATCGGCCTCCTTGTAGTTGCGCTAGCGCAGCATTCTCGATCTTCAGGGCTTCAAGCTCTTCCAACAATCGCTGAACCTCGGAGACATCAGATGAAGATGCTGCGCTATTCTTCAATTCGGGAACCATATGGTCACGAAGGTGATCTCGCTCATTTCGAATCTGCTCCAGTTCTACTCGCATGGCCGTGAGTAAGTCTTCAAAATTGTCTTTGATCTGGCGCTCTTCCGCCAATTTTCTGCGAGTGGCTTCCAGAGCACCCTCGAGTTCTTTTGTCCGAGAAGACAGGTCAGAGTGGTCAACTCTCTCTCGTCGGAGCTAATGAGAGCTGGTCAATTCCTGACGTATAAGAAGGGAGCAGATGAAATCTATCGACATACCTGATGTACTTGTGATTCTAGTATTTGGACATGTGAATCTGCTGCTGCGCGGCGAGCCCGCTCTTCCTGCCATTTCTGTGTTAAATCTACTTTCAATTGAGCCCGCTCCTGCTCCGATGCCCGCCGATATTTTTCAACATCGTCGATCCGCCCATCGTACACCAGGCGAATGGAGCTGGTGCCTGAATCAGAGAAATAATCACTGGTACGTCGATTTCCGTTGTCCAAGGGTAACTCCGATTGAAGCCTTTCTACCAAGTCCTCCAACTCCATCTCTCGCCGTATGGAGCCAGCCAACTCAGAACTGATTTCTCGGAGTTCATTTTCGAGCTCAGCCACATGCGCCGTGGAAGGGCCTGTTTCCAAGATACTTGCACTACTCAGGGACGGATTGCGCGGCGGAAAGCCCTTGGAGGCATCGAATGGTACCGTCGTGGACGGCGTCACCGCACTGGGTAAGGAAGGAGGCATTGGGGATGGGAGCGGAGAATGACCAAGATCTGAGACTTCAGTACTCGAGGATTCTGCACCAGGTGACGTAGTAATGGTGCCGCGCCAGCCAAAGAATGAGCTGATCTTGTGACCAGGAGTTTTAGGATTTTTGGCGTCTACAACGCCGGTCAAAGAGCGTCCGCTCGAATCGATGTGGAGGGGCGGGGGTCGATTAGAAGGATGGTGTACGGGCATTGTTGTAGCCCGTTTCTGCATAATTAAGGGAGACTTGAGTACTGGGATAAACGGTTCGCTAACGAGACGACTATGCACTGGCCCCCCATTCGCGAATTGGGAGCCGTAGTCCGCGTCAACACCGACGTCGTCCGACGAATCTATGAATGAGGTGGATGTGTCTATGCGAAGAGGAGGTGCGGGCTGTCTAGCATGGGGAAGTCTGAGGGTAGCCAAGAAAAGAGCGGGATTAGCTGTGACACGTCTGAAGGGGGAATGGGCATGGAAAGTCTTCTGCCCGAGTGGGACCAGGCGAGTGAGGCAGAATGAAGATCAGAACCGAGGGGACGGCGCCGAATAAGAGGGCATCAGAACAAAGAGCGCCACGGCTTTCATACCTATCCAGATCCCTGGGAACAAAGAGGGGGGGGTCCTCCGCGGGACCCAAGACGGATGATTGGGACAAAGTGGAACGTGAATGGTTCTGCACGTCAGAAACGCTCGTGACAGGGATTGGAGAATCTGCAGGTGATACGCCTCCGGGGAAGGAGGCACTGGAAGAGGACTCGGACCGGCGAGGAGGTATCACAGCGGCCGCATTCTGGGGAAGTGGCTTCCTGCGCACGGGGGAGGTGGTCGTAGGAGAAGGGACCGGAATGGGAGGATGAGGAGCGGTTGTGGAGGATGCGGAGGGAGGAGGACTTGGCCAACCGCCGGTGTCACCAGTCCCTTGATGGTGTGGTTGATGGGGGACAGCGGACGCAGCAGGAGTCGACGATAAGGCGCCAGGAGCTGGCGGAGAAGCCCAGCCTGGGGCCATGACAGGCGTATTAAATTTTATTGGAGAGCGCGAAACGGAATTGGCCAAGAAACATGCTATAGTGGAATTCAAATTGAATCAGAAACAGGAAAGGGGAGAGAGAATCAGAAGCACCCCGTTAACCAACGGGGGCATAGGATCGACGCACCCTCATGGTGACGATAAGCCTTGACTCCTTGGGGAGCACGGGCAAAACGGGCGAGGTGAATGACACGCGCCGGATCGTTAGGGGGTAAGACTTAGAGTGGGAATTGATAGACCTTGGAATGGCGTACGTTGATTGATGGACGATTGGGAAAAGGAGCCTAGTTTTTTTGGTCCAGGAGTGAAGGTGGTGACCAGGAGACTTGGAAAGACGACCAGACTAAGGGGTGGAAAGGAGAAAAGGATTGGCGGTTCGGGAAGACAGCCTAATAGTGAGCATTACCTGATTCGGAGAGGGAGACCTGGTGGGGCGTTTATCAAAAAAAAAAAAAGTATGTATTAATTTGGATCATTAGAATATTGAACCTCTTGGGCGGTTAAGGGAAAAAAAAAAAAAAAAAGAAAAGGTTATCCTATTCAACTGTGGAAAATGAAATAGCTTCTATTCTTAATAGTATTCCTAAATTTGAAGTAAAGTCTATATATCTAAAAAATGTGTCCATTGCATAGTACATACAAAGTGTATCAACCCTCTGTCCTGCACGGAGATCGCAGTGAAAGTGAGAGAGGGAGACGAGACCTACTGGGGCCAAGATCTGGAGATAAAAAAGATCTCTGGAATGGAAGAAATTCCAAGCAGTAAGAAAAGAGCAACAGTGGACGGCTCACAAGCGGCCACTAACCCCCCACTAGGCCGGCCGATCGCAAGTGAACCGTGAAGGACGGACCCACTCCTATGCATACTTCTGGACTCAGGGGCAATTTCAAACTTCCTCCCGTTGCACGCAGTCCCAAACACCATCCGGCCCAGAAACAGGAATCAGAGAATAGAAAGTAAGACAATATACTACCTAGTAAGTTGTCCAAGATAAAGCAGCAAAAGAAGACTATTTCAGGACTAGTATACCCCCCCCCCCCTCCCCTCCCCCCTCCCAAAGGAGTTCATATCAATCAACTAAATCAGACTATCATACGGTACAAACAATCTCCCTGTAACAATGGTGGGAAATCGATATACCACGATGGTCTGAGCTCCCAATATAGTCCAACCACCCATATTGATACTACCTCATCACTCCTTCCCCCCAAAACTAGGCACACGTAAGGTAATCACCTCCGAACAACTGATATGCAACGATCGACTAGCTCGTGCGCCAACATCTATCACATACAGCGGTTGGTTCACAGGAGAAATGTCAACCGGCGAATC